CTTGTAACTTGATTGCCTCGGCATTGGCTTCGGTATCAGGTGTGCTATGCTGAGGTAAATGGCCACGTATGTGGCGTTCAAAGGTGTGTATGTCTTATACCTCGGGGTAGGGCCTGTCCTGACACGTGCTTGGCCCACTGTGTTGACTGCTTGGGGAAGGGCATTATCGTGGCGATACCCTTGGTTATTGCGATAATGTCCCTTACCCCTTTTACTAAAATGAGACTGGTGAGGATGAGAATTTTTCCTTTTGCCCTGAGATTGATATGTCTGTTGACTTGGCAAAGTATTAAGTAAGGCAGAAGGAGGCACTGCTGCCGTTTGGAAGGTTAAGGTCTTCTCATTTGGGTGGGTCTGGCTTCCACTCCCCACTTGCTAATAAAGGATGGTTGTTGGGGGTTTCTCTTAGTATGTCCTTACCTCGGCGGAGGCATGGTTATAAGCTTGCGCCATCACCTCAGAGTAAGTCTTCCAAGTGTTGGCATTGATCATGTACTTAAAGAAACAGTCACGTAGGCCTGCCGTGAAGGCTTTGAGGGCAGTCTTGTCGTCTGCCTCGACACAACGAGAATACTCATGGCTGAAGCGGCCAGCATACATACGTAATGACTTGTCTGGCTTCTGCGAATAGTGTACAAGTGATTCGCAGAGTGCAAGCGATCGATCTGGAAAATGTGTTGAGAAACAAACAGTTTCCTCAATTCCTCAAATAAGTCTACCATCGCAGGTGGAAGATGACAATATCAGTTTAAAGCTCCGCCAGAGAGGGTAGAGGAGAAGAGAAGACATCGCTCTTCGTCGGTGTGCATCTGATATGCCATGGCAGACTCAAAGAGTTTAAGGTGCTCAATCGGGTCCTCTTTTCCAGTATAAAGTTGCAAGTCAAGCTTTTGCTTTATCTTTGCTTGGAGGGGGTGTCGAGGATCCTCTTTGTAAGAGGGCCAGGCCTAGGTTGGTTCTAATCAGGTATCTTAGCTTGTCGTTCGGCCTTCAACTTGTTTACTTCCTTAAAGAGTTGTAGGACAAGAGGGTCCTGAGTGGAGTCATGTACCACTGGAGCTTTCTTTCGTAAATCTCCATCTCCTCTTGGAAGTAGGAAGATTTAATCAAGTGCATGTGATTTTTTCCTGGACTCGCTGTACTGACTTCTAAGGTATGTCTGTCGGAACATCTATGAGTCCCCTATACCTTTGTGTTTCTCTAGGACTTGTTGTCCCTTCCCCAAATTGGTAGCCGGCTTGGGACATGGGATGGGACTGAGTCTTTCAGAGACCCTTGGGTCATTGATCTTCGAGCTTACCTGGATAAGATTGTCTCGACGATGCTTTAGGAAGTCTCGACAGTGGCGAAAGATAGCTTTCCATCCCTCCACTCCTTCTGTAAGGAGATGCCTTCCTCCACTCCTCCTGCTTCGGGTCGAAGTAGCTGGGTTGAGATAAGTCTCATGTTGGTCGCCATTTTGATGAGTAGCTCGTTCCTTAACAGGAATACCCATGTCGAGGGCAAATGACCCTCCATGTTGGAGGGCACCCAGTTGATGGTTGACTTCCACAGGGGTGATGAGCTCATGTGTTTTAGTATATCTAGCCTTGTGGAGCATCTCGAAGACCTTCTCATACTGCTCTTGGAGGATCTCATTCTTCATCATTATCTTATTGTTCTGAGCCTCCAGCTCATCAACTTTAGCCTGAAGAGCAAACTTTTTTTGTTCCTTCTTTCATTGCTTCGCACCAGGTGCAAGAGAGGTGTCATTCTGTGTGATGTGGCTTCTTTCGCTCCCTATGTTAGAAAGAGATGCCTGGTCAAAAGAGAGTGTACGAATGGTGGAAACCAGCTTAACAAAGCTGAAGAGAGTGGGAATAAGTGTCGTTCCCACAGACGGCGCCAAATGTTGATACCCAAAATTAGTGAGGACTTTGGTACAACAGAAAGTGTTAAGTTTGTGACCTTCGCTAGATTGTTTCGGCCACTAGTGTGGATAAGTATGTAAATGGATAGGGACAGGGAAGCAAACACAAGATGTACGTGGTTCACCCAGATTGGCTACGTCCATGGAGTAAAGGAGTTCTCATTAAATGTGAAGGGTTTACACAAGTACATAGGTTCAAGCTCTCCTTTAGTGAGTACTAGTGAATGATTTAGTACAAATGATATTAGAAAATATTGTGAGAGAATGATCTCTATTTATAGAAAAGAGTTTCTAGTTTCATTCTGACATTGACACGTGTCGTGTTGTGATTGGTTTCTGATGTTGACACGTGTCGTGCTATGATTGGCTTCTGATGTCGACACGTGTCACGCTGTGATTGCTCTCTTGGTTGGAGGGAAACTCTTTTGGGTCCTTGACGGTATAACGTTAATCGGTGCTCAGTAGTTTCGGGATTGGTCAAGTATGGTACAAACACATATCATCATTATGTGGCTATTATGTCATATTTGAGTCATCGATATATGATTAATATAATGTCGTCACTACTAAAAATCGATCGCTTTTACAACTGAATGTTAAAAAATATTGTTCCTGATAATTGCCCAAATATTATATTGATTGTGATAGAAAACCCTATCCAGAGGGTCCCATCTTCTATGAGACGGGCTTGTGTCCAACCTTTTGGGCCTCAAATTTGAAGTAATGGGATGAGTGTTTTTGCTTATCCAACTAGGCCAGGCCCTTTACCTTGCAGGCCTGCCTTTCCTCAGAGAAGCTCATGTACGACAATTTACATTTAAAAAATAAGAAACAGAAATCAAACAAAAAGGAGCATAATTTACATTGCTTCATATCACACTAAGTAATCACATTAACTAGATTAATCCTCCCACCAGGGCTGGCCTGAGAATTTAGGGCTTTAGTCGAGCCTTTCAAATGGGGTCTTAGAGTTCTCTAACTCCCGACCTTTTGTATTGACATGTATAAAAAAAATTCACTAATTACACGAAAAGTTCTATTTCTACATTAAATATCTTAAAAATTAATATCGAAAGAAGAAATATATGCAAACATTACTTAAATATTACACTTCTCACGTTTTTAGACACAAATGTGTAAGACACAAGTGTGTAAGTTTATGTAATCTAATGTTCTTAACCAATTATTTTTCAATTGATAAAATACATAACCCATTCAATCTTTCTTGTGACATAGTTGATGGAAGATAAGATTTGATCAACTTTAATTTTGAAAAATTTCTTTCTGTAAAGGCAACTTTAATTGGTATAGTTAACAAAATTCTATAAGTAAAGACTCAAACTGTAAACTTCATATTTGAATAAATACAAAATTTGTAATATATAAAGGAAACATTTAAGGGAAGGATCCCTATTTTTTTTTATTTATAAAAATGAGAATTAGTTGTAGGGTCTACACCACATCGAACTTTAACGATCCGAACAGTCTATTTTTCAAGTTGCACCTTATAGATCATCCTTGCAAAATATTAGCCAAATCGGAAATGTTTCAGACATCTAATTGAGTTCAAAGAAGTTAACGAATATTTTGTTATATAAGAAACAATGAAATTTTATCTTGATAATTAAATAGGTAAATGGTTTCAGATTGAATTGAATTTTTATCTAGGTTTTTGGTGTAACAAATATACGCAGTCTTTTCCTTGAATACATTTCAAATCTCGAACTTTTGCTTTCCAAACCGTGGTGGATTCGATCCTCACTGCAAACCAGACCATCTGTTTTGAAGGATGAACTTTGGCAGCACCAATTTTTTATTTTTAACTTGGAAATCATTGGCAGTGAACTTCCTGGATTGCCTGCCTGGACAAACTAATAGTCAAACTGCAATCCATCCCACCACTTCTTTTCCTCACCATCCCCACCATTTTCACGTTCCCGCTTACCTTCATATAGCTCTTCAAATTCAAAACCCCAGAGCCAATCTCCCCGCTTCTGCCGCCACCGCCATCGCTCCACCAAAGCGCTCACCTCCTTGCTCCTCCTCATCCCAATAGACCCTTTTGAAACTGTTGCTTCTCCAAGTGTCACACCCTCATGTGAAAAAAACAAAACACTCTTGTCATATTTAAGCCTACCCCAGTTCTCATTGTTCACCTTAATTTCTTCCCTTAGAGTCATGTGTTGATCGCGGCCAGGGTTCCGACCACCATGCTCATATTCTCCACAGAAATTCCCGCCAGCTTGACTTTAGGATCTCGGAATCGGAACACGGTGAGTCAGAGCACGCCAATGACTGCAATTTGGAGGATGACAACTGTAGTGAAATCCCACAGGATTTGATTCTTCTTATCCGGGGAAGTGACTTGGGATAAAATATTGGCACCACTTCCTCTTCTAGATTTCTTGAGCCATGGGGCTGATGGAGTTGATGTTCCTTCATCTGACCACCCATGTTTGAGTTCTTTGATCGAGAGAGAATGATTTTTGAGTTGGGTTTTTTGCGTTTCCTTTTTTGGAGCAAAAAGTACCATTCGTTAAAGATTTTGGGAAAATTCGTTGAAAAATAACGTGATCAGGACTTTGAAAGTTCTGTCATGGAGTTTGAAACCAGAGGAGGTACTCTGGTGGTTCTGTTGGGACACCTTGCCTGTGCATCTACTGGCCAGCAAACCTCGGTGCAAATTCACAAGCAAACATTTTTTTTTCTTTGGTCAAGCACCCAATCAAATTTGATCTTAACTAAATGTGGATTCAAAAGATATTTTCTCAAGTTTTTGTATTAGTGGATATGAGATATTATTGGTACTCTAAAAAAATCATACTGCATTCTTTATAAGTATTTTAGTTTTAATTATCAAAAGTAGTGTAGATTGATTTTTTAGAGTGTCAATAACATTTTTCAATGGATATTGAAAATGTTATCTAACTCAAAACATCTATTTAGATTTGACATCCTTTCTTTTCGTGACAACCTCAAAATGACAAACATTTGAAGGCCTTAAAACAATTGCGTTACAAGCATCCTGTGGGGACAAGACATTCACCGAACAAGAGAGATAGAAGATAGATAAAAGAGGGTACTGCAAGAGTCGCATCCAAGATTTTGCCTTACTATAAGATTATAAATTGAGTATTAGTTCTGTTACAAGGAGAAACCCTTAAGACTCCACCCTCCCTCTTATAATTCTTTTACCAGATGTATAGGATGGGACCTGTAATATATAGAAACTAGATTTCATGTTTAAGGCACCAGCTGCTGACGATTGATTTGGTCCAACAATTTGGAAAACAGATGAGAAAGCTTGAGTTCGCCCTGTTGGCATTCGCAAGGAATTGGTAAGGATACAACGTTCCCAATTATAGGAAGCTTAATCTTGATACTCAAATCGATCTCATAGTTAATGTCCGCATCTCCAGAAATGTCCTTTGCCAAGTTTATGAACACTCTTAACGGCACCTTCACCAACACAAACATAATGGACTCTTCTCCGGGCTTCAGTGACGCGGACTCTTTCAATGTTCCTGTTAAGACCTCGCTACACCACACATGAAGTGAAAACAATCAACATATTCAAATGTGTATGCATTAAAAATTTCTGTATTGACATATATTGGCATGTTATATATATTATCGGACATTTGACCTAGTAACTATCATTTGTATACAATCGATATACACAACTACTTTTTCATATTCAACACAGTTATGTGACGGAAGTGGTACATAACAATTGTATACAAGAACGTGTCCAGGACGGAGGATGTGAAAAGGAGATGTGGATCAAAACCTACCTGCCGGCGCTTTTGAATTTGAAAGAAGCCTGACTGACAGGGAGATAGAACTCAAAGGGGTTGAAGATAGATATCTCGAAGACGAGTTCTGTGGAGTCCAAGCTTTGGTTCCCAAATTGAAGGCCTACAATAAGAGCAGATCTTTTCTTCATCTCAGCCAATCTCCATTCCACATACCCCTGACCTTGCTTGGCACTACGTCTTTCTTGGGAACACATTCTTCTTTGAGAAACGAAGAATTCGTGACAGGCACTTTCTTTGCATTGTTGAAGAAACGAAAGAGGCACTTCTTTGCATTGTTGAAGAAACGGAAGAGGCACTTCTTTGCATTGTTGAAGAAACGAAAGAGGCACTTCTTTGCTTGTTGAAGAAACGGAAGAGGCACTTCTTTGCTTTGTTGAAGAAACGGAAGAGGCACTCCTTTGCATTGTTGCTGAAGGGCAAAAAACTGAATTTAAAATATTTAGTTATGGGACCGATTACTCTACTCCCATTCATATATATAGGAGTTGGTACATTTGTAGGACCTTTTGGCTTTCGGAGATGGGGCCAACCATGATCCTTTTCTTGCATTTCTTCCTTGTAAAGTGTCCCAAAATATAAGTAAAGAACTGGGTTCCTCTTACTTCCCTCCAAAAATATAGTTGTTGTTATTTAAGTTCATCATATTGTGGAATCAGATATATATTGTGGGAGACTTTCCTTGTTTAATGTGGTCATTGATTCCGAACTATTATCCCTTTCCCGTCATTGATGTTGTTCCTGTTCTGTAATTCCCTTCTTTTTGCTTTGGTCAAACTTGTGGATTGCCCTAGTTAGGGCATTCCTCTTCACGTATTGCGTTCCGGAATCAAACCCTCATCTTCTTAGTGTATATTATTGCTAGTAATGAAAAGATATATGATGAGTTTCACGTTTATCCCAATAATTTTTGTCATTGCATTTTCGTCCTAGTTTCAACAGTTAAAATGTTAGTTCGAAAAACTGAGGTCAAAAAACAGGCAAACTTTCACAATGAGTATCGTTAACTGAGAAAATTGAGGAAACATTCAACCAAGGGCATTATCTGATAACTATTTTATTTTTGTGTTAAAGTTGACACAATAGAAGTTATAGGGTAAAAGAGATCATGAACGGTCACGCTTGAAAGATTCTGGAATACCATAAATTTGAGAAAACCCCTCGAATTTGAACTCGATTTTTTCCCATTGTGAGAGGTTTAATCCGGTTCTCCGTAGAAGATGAATTTGAGTAAATTGTATTGATCCCTGAACTTACTCAAGGTTGGAGCAATCCCCTCAATTAAAAATATTATAAATTGGAGGTCCCTCAACTTATCAAAATATGTAGCTATAGTCCTTTTCATTAATTTCTTCAAAATTTTGTCAAAATATGTTATGTTGGAATAACCATTTATTTAATTAGGGTCCCTCAACTCATCAAAGTGTGTAATTATGGTCATTTTCGTCAACTACTTAAAAAAATTTGTCAAACCGAGTTATGTTTGAAGGACCATAGCTACAATTGGGATAAAGTTAAGGGACCATTTCTCCAGTTGAATTAAAATTAAGGGACCAAAGATAATGAATTTTTAGTTGAGGGACCATAGCTGCACGTTTTAATGAGTTGAAGGACCAATGGTAATGGATTTTTAGTTGAATGACCATTGCTCCAATTTGAGTAAAGTTCAGGGACCATAGCTACAATTTACTCTAATAATATTTGTTAAAAAAATACAAAAAAAAAAAAACATAAACGAAATAGTTATCGCCATGTCCAGAAGTTAAAGTATTAGACTAATTAAAAACATGATAAACTACAATGCGTCAAAAAATTGATGTGGACATTTCGAGTGTGGTAGTAAACTAGAGTTCGGAAAAAAATGATCCAATTGACATTTCAGTTCCCCTATTGATAAAAGTGCCTTATTAAGCTATACAACTGGTAAAGTTATATCAACTTAAAGAGATAGAAAGAACAAATGCAAGAACACACATAAAGCTACTTTATTCCCCTTGATTTCTCCTATTTAGATTTCAAAAAAGTTAAAGTTTCACGTAAAATCAATTAGCAATATAAAAAGTAACATAATTATTTATAATTATATGCAAGATTTTTTTTTTTTTTTTTTTTTTTTTTTTTTTCTGACATAGAATCAATGTTTTAAAGAACTCGGGGCGCGCCTAGGGCGCGCTTGAGGCTGGGCGGTGAGGCAAACGCCTCAGTTTTGCTGGAGTAGGCGAAATGCTTCGCCGGAGACGCCGAGGCGACGGAGGCGCGCCTCAAGGCGTCTGCGCGCCTCAAGGCGTCCAGGCGCCTCAAGGCGTCCAGGCGCCTTGTCAGACCCTTTTTTTTTTTTTTTTTGAAAACCATCCAAACCCAAAACTGAGCCGTTTGGGTAAGGATTTTCAGTCTTCATACCATACCTTCGAATTCGATTGCCTTTGTTTGCCTCTGCCTTCTGCCTTCTGCCTTCTTGCTTCTTCTTCTCCCGCGCGCCAGATGCCCAGAAGCCCAAAACACCGGTCCGGTCGCCACGCCGTCGCTTGGAGCAACATCATCGCCACACCGCCATCACCCCACCACCGTCACCCCAGCACCGTCACCCCAGCCCCAGCGGCGTCAGCAAGATCCCAAGGGTTAGGGTTTTTGAAATTCTGAAATTAGGGATTTAGTTTTCTGGGAAAGGTTTTGCTATAATAGAGGGGTTAATAGTTAGACAGAAAAGTTATTAATCTGCCTCTACTGCCTCTACGTGCTGCCTCTGCGTGCTGCCTTGTTTAGGCTATAAATTTATTAATCTGCCTCTGCATTTTCTGGGGAAGGTTAGGCTATAAATTTAGTGGAAGGTGCTAGTAGGTTGGAAATTGTTAGGCCTAAGTGGTTGGGACTACAGGGGTATATAAATTAATTAATAAATTGTTGAAAATTGTCGGTATATAAATTAATTAATAAATTGTTAGTTCATTAACTTTATGCATGCATCAAATGTTTATTGTTTTCTTTGTATTACCTTTTGAATGATGAATTTGGATGATATTACTTTTGAATGATGAATTTAGATGATGTTATCTTTTGAATGATTATGAATTTGAATGAAAAATTGAGAATAGATGTTTATTTTACATAGTATTATTTTTATACAATTATATGTATAATATATAAAACATATATATATATATATATATATAATTAAATCCCGTGAGGCTTCCGCCTCACTCCTCACGCCTAGACGTGGCTTCGTCTCGGACGCCTCGCCCACGCCTCACGCTTTTAATACATTGCATAGAATTCAGTTTCTACAACTTTATTCCCACCGTTTATATGGCAAACATAATTAAATATCAAAACATCATTAGCACCACCCTAATTCCTCATCCATTCCATAATGAAGTTATACATAGATCAACAAACAACAACCAAATACAAAATAGCAAAAGTTACTGCATCTGAAAAGGCATGGTGATTAGAAGAGGGTGGGAAGCTTGAACTCTCCCTTCTTGTTGAGTGGTATGGTGAAGTTGCCAATGACAGGAAGGTCAATGGTGAGGCCTATATCCAACTCATAGTCAAAGTCCCAATCTGCACCCAGATCCTTTGCCAATGTCACCAATATGCTATGTGGCACCTTCAATAGCACCTCCAGCACAGTTATGTCACTTGCCTTTAGTGATCCAGGGTCCGGGATAGTCCCCGATGCAATCACCCTGCAAATATACACAAAATCAAACTACAAATTGAGGGAAAAAAAGGTCAAAACGCTGGTTTGGTCCGTCTAAATTTCACAAAGTTTTCAACATCATCAATGTACTTTCAATTAAATCCACAAGTTTTATTTTTTTTTTGAAAAAAAAAAGCGATATTTTAAGCTAGTCTAAATTAATGGGAAAGTGGTTTGCGCCAGGACGCAAAAGGAAGGTCCTAAACACAATATCAATCTACCACCTGAACTTTTATTTTTTATAAAACAACACTGGAGATTAAACTAAATCACACAACTGTTAATCTAGTATCAAAATCAATCGAACCTAAAACTTTCTACTTAAGGGTGCGTTTGGTACGTGGGACGGGACGGGACGGAAAGGAACGAGGCGTTCCGTCCCGCGTTTGGTGCGCCAAAAATGGGTGGAACGGCGGTTCCACGGGACAGATTTTGGGTGTTTTTGCGTCTCCCCTCCACCCCTGGAACGGGTTTGTTCCAGGTCTGTGGAACACAATGTTTTACCATTTTAAGACAAATATACCCCATATCTTTTTAAAAAATTACACCTTCGTTCCGTCCCGTCCCGTCTGCGTACCAAACACACCCAACACAAATGACTTTTCAATTGCATCAAGTTTGATTCACGTAGTTTGTAAACTGTTCTCACCTGAGGACATTTGTCCATTTCTGTTAGTTTCTTGCGACGAAATGGTCAAAAGTAAATGCTAGGGCAAACGGATTGAGCACAAGACATCAACAGATGTTAAAATGTAGGTCGTCGGATACAATTCGCAAATTCAAGGATCAAATTTGACACAGCAAAAAATATAGGCAGAAAGCGGAACTTCGTAAAAACAACATGACCTAATTAACGCCAAGAACCCAATTGACCAGTGTTAAAAAGTGAGAAATGGAACCTGTTAACGCTTTTGAGGGTGTATTTGATATCGCAAATGGGGATGGAATGGCTGTAGGGATTGGTCACGGACACCTTGGAAAGGTACTCCACATGGCTCAAGCCCATCTTCTTGAAATCAACATCTGTGACTTCTGCTTCTGGTTTCGCCACATTTGATATCTTATCTGTGACAAAGTTCTTGGCCTTATCCATGAAACCTTGCTCGGCCATTTTTCAAACGCAAACCTACAACCAAAAAAATGAAGGATTTTTGATCGATTCCAAGAGAGATTTCAAGACTTGCAGGCTTGTTGATCGGTAGAGGATTTCTCAGAGATATTTATAGGGAGGTGGTGGTGTGTTTACTAGGTTTGTGACGCGTGTCAAGGAGGTCGGTAGTTGAGGACAACTGAGGATGTACGTGTCCCTTGATGCAGGAAAGAAACGGATTTGGATTTCATCCGGATCCAAATTGTGAGGATCCTAGAGATCCTCACATCTTAACCTTTAATCATGCATCGTGCGGTTATAAATTATTTGAATTTTTATTTAAAATTAAACACAAATAATACCTGACGAAAACTAACTATAAGATATATAATA